CGAGACAGGGTTTCTCTGTGGTTTTGGAGCCTGTCCTGGAACTAGCTCTTGTAGACCAGGCTGGTCTCGAACTCACAGAGATCCGCCTGCCTCTGCCTCCCAAGTGCTGGGATTAAAGGGGTGCACCACCACCGCCCGGCTAAAATGGTAGTTTTTAATTTTTATTTTAGTAAGGGAACTTTATGAATGACTAATATTGACAGCTGTTGATTACTGCCAAGATATAGTTGCCACTATTGCACCTTTGGAGATACCTTGTTATACAGGTCATTGTTGTTATTAATAGGGGTTTTAGCTTGATAGAGATACTGAGTGGTTTTCTACCTTCAGTATGAATAGAGCTAATTCTCAGGCAGGAGGCTCCAGATCAGAGCCACGCCATTTTTTTCAGCTCCTGTGTTTCAAGTATGAGATGTCTTCAGCAATAGAGTCTTATTTCTTTTTTTGGAGGCAACCAAGGACAATAGTAATAGCCTATTTTGTCTGGACTTTTTTTTTTTTTTGATTCTACTGACCAACAAAAGGAAGTTTTCCATGTCTGGCACTGAGGTCTTTATCAAATAATCTATGGTTTTTAGGGGAACATTGTTACTCCAGTTACATAGCTACTTACTGCTATGCATTATTTTACTCATTTTTCCTCAAATGCCAGTTCTGTATCTAATAGTTCAAGGAATAACCAATGAGTATTAAATATACTTTTCAATTGGAAAAACAAAACACAACCCTTGATTTTTTATTGCTCTATGGATTCTATTTTTAAAATGCCTCATGGATCTTTGTGAGTCTTTCTAGATTTCCTTAAGACTTACATTCTCCTTTTAACTTGTTAATGGTAGATGGAGATTTCTCTGACTTAGAGGGATAGGATTTAAGGTGAAAACCACAGTGTGTGGAGTTTATAAAGCAAGAAGCCACGCTGCCCTCTGAATAAGTCATTTAGGAAGACACAACCCCTTGTATGTCAGCTTCCTTTCCCATCAAATTTAACCATGGCCTCTTTTAAAACCCATTTTGGTTATGTGAGATAAATAAGAAAACTCTTTAGAAGGGAAATCACTACAGAAACTTAAGGGTACTTTTGATGTTATGCTAAATCTAAAAGGATTTAAAGTCAGGAAACGAATCCAAGAAGACTTAGATTTGAGCATGACTAGTGTGTACAAAGCAATGAACTTTATTACCAGTAACTAAATTAATTAATCAAAATCAGGATATCACAAAAACAGAAATAAAATTATCTGTGTAAGATCTTGCATTGATTATATTTACTTGGAAATGTCAGAGCAGAAATAGTGTGAATTTTAAATTATGTAAATCTTTTTTGAAATTACCATTTTATGCAAGTAGCCTATTTTCTTACTTCTCTCAATAGTTTCAGAACAGGAGGATGTTTTCATTAAAGCAAAATATGCCAAAATGATTTAGCCATTCATTTGAATTAACATGTTTTTAAGGAAAGTCTGTTTTTCTTACCTAAGCTCTTCAAAAACAAAAGGCAATTCACAATTGGGTTGATATGTAGATGTTTTGCTTTATATAACTCCAGATACCAAAATTCATTGCTTTTGAAATTCTATAAATCATCATTTGAAACAGTTGAAAGAATATGAGGCCACTTCCTACATATAACCCCCATAGCACAGACAATAAGAGCAACAATGAATAACCAACTCCCCCCCATCAGACAAAGGTCTGATCTCCAAAATATATTAAAAAAAAAAAAAACTCAAGAAACTAGACATTAAAATTCTAACCCAATTAAAAAATGGGGTACTGAACTGAACAGAAAATTCTCAACAAAAGAAGTTCAAATGGCCAAAATACACTTAAGGTCAAACTCAACCTCCTTAGTTATCAGAGAAATGCAAATCAAAACAACTTTGAATTACCATCTTGTCAGAATGGCTAAAATCAAAAACACCAATGATAGCTTATGCTGGAGAAGATGTGGAGTAAATGGAACACTCATTCATTGTTAGTGGGAATGCAAAATTGTGCAACCACTTTGGAAATCAGTGGCAGTTTCTCAGGAAACTGGGAGTCAACCTACCTCAGGATCCCGCAATTCCACTCTTGGGAATGTACCCAACAGATGCCCAATCATTCTACAAAAGCATTTGTTCCACTATGTTCATAGCAGCACTATTTGTAATAGCCAGAATCTGGAAACAACCTAGGTGCCCCTCAATGGAAGAATGGATAAAGAAGGTGTGGCACATATACACTTTAGAGTTCTGCTCAGTGGTAAAAAAAAAAAAATGACATCTTGAATTTTGCATGCAAATGGATGGAAATAGAAAACACTTTACTGAGTGAGATAACCCAGACCTAAAATATGAATATGAACCTTCATCTGATGATAGATGGAGATAGAGACAGAGACCCACATTGGAGCACTGGACTGAGCTCCCAAGGTCCAAATGAAAAGCAGAAGGAGGGAGAACAAGAGCAAGGAAGTCAGGACCGTGAGGGGTGTGTCCACCCACGAAGAAGGTGGGACTGATCCAATGGGAGCTCACCAAGGCCAGCTGGACTGGGACTGAATGAGCATGTGATCAAACCGGACTCTCTGAATGTGGCTGTCAATGAGAGCTGACTGAGAAGTCAATAATAATGGCTCTGCATTTTGATTCTACTGCATGTACTGGCGTTTTGGAAGCCTAGTCTGTTTGGATGCACACCTTCCTAGAACTGGATGGAGGGGGGGGCGTGGACTTCCCACAGGGCAGGGCACCCTGAATTTTCTTAGGACTGGAGAGGGAGGGGGGAGTGGAGGGAGTGGGAGGGAAATGGGAGGAACGGAGGAGGTGGAAATTTTTAATAAATAAATAAATTTTAAAAAAGAGAATAGCATATGACCTAAGTGTTACTATCTGCCCCATCTTATACACCATATAGAAAAACCCGTTACATTAGTAGCATACGACTGCAAGCAAAAGACAAAAAAGCATGCGTAGAGGCCATATCTAGACTTTATCACTGTCCATGTCGAAAAGTATTTCAGGCAATTAAAATTTGTACTTATTTATTATATAACGTAAGTGTATAACGGCAGCTTATGGTCATTACAAAGAGACTTCGTAATATTTGAAGAATTACACGGAGAGCCATTTAAACCCAGTGCAATGTTGTAGTGATCTGTTTTGCCTTCCAAATCATTGTCAGTGTATGCAGTAACAGAGATCCTCCAGACATTGCTATTTCATGTCTTTTCTAACGTCTTTGTGCTCCCTAATTGAGCAGGGAGAAGTTTGCTGATCTTGAGGTCATTTGTGAAAACCATAGTATAGTTTATTGGAGCAAGCATAGTAATGTTTCCGAAGGAGCTTTCTTTTGCAATAGTTTATTGTAAACTAAGTAAATGTATATTTAATTTATGGTGACTTGAAGGAACTTAATTTCAAATATGTAAAGCTCCATGGTTTCAGTACTGTATTAAGAATGTGGAGAATTTCTTGTTTTTGTTTGTTTTTTTTTTGCCACCTAATTTATTTAACATTGTTACACAAATTCAGTAAATGTACAACTTAAATTATAAGATTTTATTAAATGTGAATTTTCCATGTTTCTTTTATTATTAGTAGTATTATTTATTTATTTTTAAAGATTTCTGTCTCCTCCCCGCCACCACCTCCCATTTCTCTCCCCCTCCCCCAATCAACTCCCCCTCTCTCATCAATCCAAAGAGCAGTCAGGGTTCCCTGCCTTGTGGGGAGTCCAAGAACTACCCACCTCCTTCCAGGTTTAGTAAGGTGAACATCCAAACAGCATAGGCTCCCACAAAGCCAGTACATACAGTAGGATCAAAACCCAGTGCCATGGTTCTTGACTTCTCAGCAGTCCTCATTGTCCACTATGTTCAGTGAGTCCGGTTTTATCCCATGCTTTTTCAGACCCAGTCCAGCTGGCCTCTGCTTGAAAAGTAACTTATGTCATGAATCTTCGAGGAAAACATAAGTGTATTGAAAATGTTTCTCGGCAGTATTGTCCAATATGTTTGGAGGGCATCCACACATCCTGCATTGTTGCTCATGTCTTGCCGTGTGGGCATCTCTTACATAGAACGTGTTACGAAGAAATGTTAAAAGAAAGCTACAGATGTCCACTGTGTATGCATTCTGCCTTAGATATGACGCAGTACTGGAGACAGCTGGATAATGAAGTCATACAAACTCCTATGCCATCTGAGTACCAGAATATGACTGTGGATATTCTCTGCAATGACTGTAATGGGCAATCCACAGTCCAATTCCATATCTTAGGCATGAAATGTAAGATCTGTGAGTCCTACAATACTGCTCAGGCTGGGAGCCACAGAGCTGCAGTGGACCAGCAGTGAGCAGCCTGTTCTCGGCTGGAGAACAGCTCTGAGATGTAGATAAACTCTGTGTAAAAGACGCTGTTGTCACAATGTGTCCTAACTGTGATGTCGCAAAGCAGCAGGTCATATTATATGCACCTACAGATTCAAGATCTCTGGATGGAATTACCGTAACTTGTACTGGATGAAGCCGCTGCTGATGTGTTGATTGGAAGTTCTTTTAGTCAAGTTTTGAAGTCAATGATGTTTGCCTCACATATAGTCACACACATAGAAATATTTTATATTTTCATAGAACTTTAAGTGATATGATGCACACATATTGTGGTAATTTATAGAATTGCTGGCACCTTCATAAATATCATCATTTATTGTTCATCATTTCATTCTTTTCCAAGGTCTTAAACAACTGAAGACAGCTTTTAGTTTGAGTATTTCTTCACAAACTACGTTCAAAAATTTCTAAAATGTACTACAATTCAAACAAGGTCTTTCTAATATCACACTAAATGAAAAATTCTCTGTTGATTCTCTTGCCTACTATGAGGTTTTAACTATGTGTGATTAAAATGGGAGCCTCCAGTCTGCTTTTCAGCCCAATGGAGCTTACACCATAACAAAAGTGGTAAGACATCAATTTAAATAAAAAGAGATGGTTTTTGTGTATGGCTCAATTGGGAGAGTGCTTGTTTAGTAAATGCTAAAGTCACAGGTTCCGTTGCCAGAGCCATATAACATTAAAACATCATGCCTATAATCTCAGCATTTGTGAGATGGAAGCAGAAGGCTTGGAAGAAGTTCTAGACCACAAAGTTTGAGAACAGCTTGGGAAACATGAGACTATGCCTCAAAGTACAAAAATATAAAACACCCATGGACTGATGCTTAAACATATCAACATAGAATAATATAACTGGCAAGAGAAGTTAACAAGTATGTCAAAGGAATAGCCATCAAGGATGAGCTGTTTTAAAGGCAATTTCGAAGAGCTGCAGATATTGATACTTAGAAAATAGGCATCATGGCAGTTGATAGTTGGGTGAAAAATTCAAAGTCAAGGGGCAAAATGGCTTAGAAGCTTAGAAGCAGCACTGTAACAAATAGGGGTTTGCAGTTTGCAGCAAAGGTTTGGAAAACAGCAGAATCCCTTTGATCTCTCACTGCCACCTCAGAATGTGACAAGCTTGAGTTGTGGGAAGACTTTAGAGATGACGAACGGAGCTGATGTCATTCAGAATCTGTTCAGAGTATAGGGAAAGGTCAAGACTACAATGGGTTAGAAGGATTTAATAAAAAACCAGGCAGGGATAAAAAACATAATTGAGGGGTTCATTACTTCCTGTTGCAGTGATAGAACAATGTGACCAAGGCAATTTATAAAACAAAGAGTTTACCTGGGCTCATGGTTCCAGAAAATTAGAGTCCTTAATAATGGTGGAGACAGCATGACCACAGATTGCAGGCTGTAGGCTTGGTGTCTGGTACAGGAAGCTGAGAGCTCACATCCTGAACTTCAAGAGAAGAGAGCAGTTGAAAATAGGCAAAGCTTCTCATCTCAAAACGCATCTCACCTTCAGTGATATCACCTAACCATATCCAGACAGCACCAGAAACAAGGACCAAGTGTTTGCATGTCTGAGACTGTAGCAAACACGGCTCATTTGAGTCACTACAAGAGGATAGCACCCAACAATAATTATTTCATCTCACAACATGTTCTATTGAGCCATTGTGACCTAAAATGACATTTAAATAATTAGGCTCCATGGAAAGGGTGATACGGGCAATGATGTATGAACATATTAAGAACTTAATACTGAAAATGTTCCTAAGTCATCAAAGCTTTTTTAAAAAAGAATTTGACAAAATTGTCAGAATAATAACTAATGTTCTAAAATGGAAGCCCCTTTCTTTCTTTCGTTCATTCGTTCGTTCGTTCCTTCCTTCCTTCCTTCCTTCCTCCCTCCCTTCCTTCCCCTTCTCTCTCTCTCTTTTTCCTTTCCTTTCCTTTCCTTTCCTTTCCTTTCCTTTCCTTTCCTTTCCTTTCCTTTCCTTTCCTTTCCTTTCCTTTCCTTTCCTTTCCTTTCCTTTCCTTTCCTTTCCTTTCCTTTCCAGAATGTCCCATGCTTGGCAATATTACTGTTTCAGCCTTCAAAGTGTGGGGATTAGAGGTATGAACCACCAAGGCCAGCTGGTTGATCATTTTCAATCAGGTTCCCTTCCTCTGTTCTCGTATAGATTATTGTGTTTTCATTTCTTTTTGGTACTTTTATCAGTTGTAAAATAGAAACTTTAAATTCATGTAAGCAAGCACCATCTCTGTTTTCTGACAATCCATGGCTATTCCACTTTCAGTGATCTTGCCTATAACGGAACAGCACTCACCCATGCTGTACCCTAATAATATCCAAATCTTTTGAACTCATTGAGAAGCAAACCCAAAAATGTACTGTTCATTTCCATAGATTTTTCACCTCCATTGAGAAGCAAGACTTCTTGTTTATTTTATGAACAGATATATATCAGAACCTTTTCTTTCCTTCTGAGCTGCTAGGAATCCATCTGTTCTTCTATTATTCATGTTTTGGGGTAAATGGAACATTTGATGCACACAGCTAATTTTTTGAAAGTCATCACATCCTAAAAATTGCCTAAGCACTCTACTCTGATCAACAGTGAGGATTTCTCACAGGTGAATGGAAGAAGAACCCAGGTTGAAATAGAAACCAGTGTAGCATTCTGTTGTCTGATTCTCATTCTCACACTCACAGGGCTGTGTCCACCAGAGGTGACCTGAATTTACTTCTTTGAAGTTGCATATCTTGACTTTGTATAGTAGCTCTGGAACAGGTCAGGAAGCATTTTAAAGCTCTCTCTCTCTCTCTCTCTCTCTCTCTCTCTCTCTCTCTCTCTCTCTCTCTGTGTGTGATAGCATCTGAGCAATTGTTGACTGATGCTGTCCTAAAAACAAAAGCTATCCCGTCCAAACTCCTGATGTGATAGTTACAACCATCAGCAAGATGGTATAGGTGTTGCAGTGATTATTTCTTTTAGGAACACAGCAGGTGAGATGTGTTTTCCAAACTATGTTTCAGAGACCACATAATTCTAGAGGGTTCTGTTTTCAATATGTTAGTGTTAATGGAAACAGTGATGCTTCCTAATGTGTCACTGTGAAGTCCTTTGTGGCCATATTGTGTCACTTTCCCAGGGTACTCCCTGCTGTTTGACCCTTATTCCTGCGGAAATGGACAGGACCTACATTGACCTTATGTGGGTAACATAGTTTCTCCAGGAATGTAGAAGGAGAAGCATCAGAATAGGAAGTTTTTGCAGAAATAGCAGTGGAGGGGCTCATCCTGTTATGTAAAATCATTTTGTCCGTTCTCAGTGTGCTTGGTGGAAGTTTTGAGGAAAATACAACTTTGCATTTGATTTGTTTTGGAGGTAAATGAGATAGCTCAGGCTCTTTTATTAGCAAGTTGATAAAATTAGCATTAATATTACCCATGGGAAGCTTTTCAATGAGTGTCAGTTCTGAACTTATGAATCAACCTTTCTTTTCCCCAGGACTTCTCTTTAGATGGCTCATGGTGATGGGAAGATACAATGTAATAGCAATAACCAATGGGTGCTTTTTTTGGAGTCAGTCCAACATGCTGGAGACCAGGTAAAGATAATTTACAAGTTTTTAGAGAAGTATACATTGCCTTTAAAATAGAAATTTAAAATCAAGCTTGACTTACATATTTCTTCAGAAAATTATATTTACTATTAAGTGAAGTGCACATTTATTTATAAACATACTAATTTCACTTCTCTAAGAAGAGAACTGTGTTTTACTAAAACAAATATTGACATTAATTATTCTATTAAAGTTATATTAGCAGTAAGATACATGTGTTTTTATTCTTTTTCCTTTTATAATCACATATTATATAGTTTGATCATATTCTCATCTCTTTATCCATTCATATGCCCCCCCATTCCCTTTCACTAAATCCCTTCTTTTCTCCTGTAATTACACACCGTACTTTCATGACCTTGTGTGTGCATGTGCCTCACTATACTTAATTAGGATAGTCCAGTTGAGTGTAGGTCAGGGGGCTATTTACTTGAACAAAGGCCATGATAGACCATTGGCTACATCATTGAGGATTATGGCTGCCCCTCCTCAAGCCACCATTAGCTGTTTGTGGCTCCTCAATGAGGATCAGAGCACTTGGAGCCCCTCTTCTATCTAAGATAGAATGATGTGACCAAACATTGCAGGTATCCACTGATTCTGCGAATTCATGGGTACAGAGACATTTTGGGTCTAGGAGACAGCATTTCACAGCACCCCTTTCTGTCTTTCAGGTGTAACATTCCTTCTTCCCCCTCACTGATGTTCCCTGAGCCTTGGAAGTGGTGACAGAGATGTCCCATTTGGAGCAGAGCACTTAACAGTCATTCATTCTCAGCACTCTGGACCGTTAGAGACTCTAAAGTCACCACAAACAAAAATATCTCTGACCAAGACTGAGAATAGAATTAGTTTATAATTATAAACAAAAATATACAGAGGACATATTTACAGCACGTCCATCTAGCAAAACAACAGAAACAGGCTCACCCCTTGAACCTATGACCTACTCAGACATGGGATTGTGACAAGGTTTACAGTTCCCAGTGTGATTTCCCCCCATGCTGTGGGTCTGAAATCCCACCAGAAAATGGCTGCTTAACCCCATATCAATAATATCATTAATGGACCAGAGACATTCTATTGGACAGACGTGTGTTTCATCTTGCAGGATTGACAACTGGTTAAGAAAGACTGTATTCATAGCACCCTGCACAGCCCCTCTCTTCTCATATGCTGCAATCTAGCCGGCAGAGAGGAACCTGCCACCTCAGTCCACCCTTCTTTCTCTACATCCTCACCAAAGTGTGTAGTGTCTTCAGTCATAAGGTCTTACTGTCTGTCTCCAGTGGGCACTAAGACCATAAGCAATAGACTTTATGGTTTCAGGGGCCTCTGAGCCTCGTCAAGCAGCAGCTCATAAGGTGGTGTACCCATATTTGCTATGGGGGCATATTAGC